AAAACAAAAAAAAAAAAAGGAAAACACATAAAAGTGTTAAATCTTTACTTTAACAAAAAAAAAATCATGAAGTAAACTAAAGAAAGTTTTATCAATTTGAAAAATTATTTTAATTTTTTTTTTGAGAATTGAACGTTTAATATAAAGAGAATGTATATTTTAAAAAAAAATAAACGTATACATTTTAGCGAAGTGAATAAAGAAAAAAAAACAATATGCAAAAAGGAATGAGGCAGACCATCTAAAATTACGGTGAAAAAATTGCTGTAGAAATTACAATTTTTTGGTTGGTGGTTGGTTGGGTTGCAAAGTGTTAGCGCATACTCAAGTATCCAGAAAATTAGAACGTTGGAAAATAATCTTAAGAAGTATGGATACTTTTTTTAAAACATTTCTTTTTAAAAGGACAGTAGAATAAATGTAAGTGTTAATGTTGTTTGCAGGATTGACGTTAAAATAATCCGGTTAACTGAATAAACATATATCCGATTGGATTAGAGAGCCGACTACGTGATAGACAGAAAAGTCAAGGAGGTAAATTATTTTCCAACATTTGGGGCTCAAAAAATGACGATAGCGCCTTGATGTTGAACCCTGAGGCTACTTAGGGTTAAGTACGTAAAAGTAGAAGATGAGGGAGAGGGTAGATGGCCCCACCAGCACAATTGACGTTCCCGCTGACAATGCTACCACTCATTTACTACCAAAATATTGCTATTCTCTACTTAAACATGATACAGCACTATCAGCATAGTGCCATTCTCTACTTAAACATGATACGCCACTATCAGCATACTGCTATTCTCTACTTAAACATGATACGCCACTATCAGCATACTGCTATTCTCTACTTAAACATGATACAGCACTATCAACATACTGCTATTCTCTACTTAAACATGATACAGCATTATCAGCATAGTGCTATTCTCTACTTAGACATGATACGCCACTATCAGCATAATGCTATTCTCTACTTAAACATGATACAGTACTATCAGCATACTGCTATTCTCTACTTAACCATGATACAGCACTATCAACATACTGCTATTCTCTACTTAAACATGAAACAGCACTATCGGCATACTGCTATTCTCTACTTAACGATGATACAGCACTATCAGCATACTTCTATTCTCTACTTAAACATGATACAGCCTTATCAGCATACTGCTATTCTCTACTTAACGATGAAACAGCACTATCAGCATACTGCTATTCTCTAATTAAACATGATACAGCACTATCAGCATACTGCTATTCTCTACTTAAACATGATACAGCATTATCAGCATAGTGCTATTCTCTACTTAAACATGATACGCCACTATCAGCATACTGCTATTCTCTACTTAAACATGATAAAGTACTATCAGCATACTGCTATTCTCTACTTAAACATGATACAGCATTATCAGCATAGTGCCATTCTCTACTTAAACATGATACGCCACTATCAGCATACTGCTATTCTCTACTTAAACATGATACAGCACTATCAGCATACTACTATTCTCTACTTAAACACGGTACATCCCTTTCAAAATACTGCTCTTCTCTAAATGAAATAGCAAAACGAAATATGTGGAAGCTAGAAGAAGGGCTCTATGCCGAAATGTCCAAATCTTTCTGTCCTGTTCTCTAATTCAAGCTTCCACATACCTCGTTTTGCTATTTCATTTAATAGACATTTACAGTCCTTTAATTATTATATGCTTTTCTCTACTTAGCCATACTATAACACTTTCAACATAGTAATAAATTTCACTTTTTATTGTGGTTTTATTTAACATCACTTTAAATAATAGTATGTAAATTGTGAAATTTAATCATACAATCGTCATAACAAAATCAATTGAAAAAAAAATCACTTTTTTATTTAATTATATCACGTTATTTTGGTTACTAATTATTTTTTTTTAAAAACTTCTACTTCTGATGAAAGTCCTTAATAAAACAAATAAACATTTATATAATCTTTGGTTGACGTATTTCTTTTACTTTTAATAAGAATTTGAAAAATTAAAAAGGAAAATAGAATGCTCTGCCGCCACCAGGTAAAAGACAAATGTGCTATTTTCGTTTATGTCCGCTACCTTTGGGGTTTCACGTTCACACACCTGGGCAAGAGTAGTCAACCCTTTCTTAACCACTATAGACCGGTCCCGAAGTTTACACTTCACTATAATAAACTAAGTGAGTTTAATTAATCACTGGGCGCCGCCGGCACCCCTATGGCCACGGCACCCTCTGCGAGGGCACAGGTGGCACACCTTAAAGGCCGGCCCTGACCTAAGCTAGTGTTTTCTTCCCTAACATTTATTTGTTTTGTCATTTTGGTGGGCTTTTGGTCGATACGTTCGTTTGTTTAGTCTTAAATTTATGTTTCTACCTGACATATACTTGAGCTTTAAATTTAATTCGAACGGTTTAGGGACAGTCTCACCATTCCCTTTCAAGATATCCAGGAACATCTTTTCAGTAAAGCAACATTTTATACAAGGAGACAATCAGCCTCCAAGTCAGGTGTAATTAGACGCATAATGGCAATCGCAAAGCAGAAAAAATACGCATGGATCAAAAATATTTCGAGGCTCTGGAAAGATTTGTTCATTCTTCAAAAGTGGAAGATGTTCTTCTTGAAACTGATGACTATTTGCAGCGCATTTCTTCCTCTCACATTGACAACACAGTAAACTCTTTAAAAAATTAAAAATGAAAGCAACGACAAAAAAGAGGAACAGGAAAGTTTCAGGCCCTCCGAAACGTTTATTGATCAGGAAGATAAATTCATATATGAGGTAGAGCAAAACGGCGAGGGAATGAAAAGTACCGAACATGGCAGTTTTTTCGTTGACGCAAACTGAACTAATCAGTGCTGCAGATTCTCTGTCATGGCCTACAAAAAGGACACAGGCTACAAAATTGCAACTCTGTGCTACCGCTGCTTGCATGACGTGGCACCGTCCTATCTCAAAGCGCTCATGACAACTTATGTATCCAAAGACAACTCCGCTAATCTGATAGTGGTAAACTCTCAATACCACGTGTTCGCCTTGAGACTTACGGAAGGCGCAGTTTCGCATATTCCAACAATTTGGAACACACTTCTGTCGCTCTCAGAAGCAGCCAGACTGTGGAGTATTTAAAAAACCGATTTGTAAACACATCTATTTTGCAAAAACAACCGCTGGGGTTATGATGTCCACCATCTTTTCCAGCTAGCTGTTATCTCCTAGATGTATATTGGCCTGTGTGGTTTATGGTTGCAAGGGATGAAAGACTTAAATAAATATTCTTGTATGTATTTTTTTGTGATGTTGCATTTCGTATTTCAATGAGGTAGAATATAGATTTTTTTCATTTCTCTTTCAATATCGTTGACTTTGTACCACGCTTCAAGCGAGCCTTTAGTGACGAAGCGTGATTTTATACTACACTTTATTATTATTATGTAATCAATGCGTGCCTAAATGGGGAGCCATGAAGTGAGTGAAACAGTAGAGTGACATGATCACGTTTCTTTGTCTTTAGAACTCACCTAGAAGCCGAGTTTCTGGAGTTTTTCTATGAATTGCTTTGGAGAACCTGACAGAAGAGAGTTACAATAGTCCAGACGAAAAAGAACAAGAACACTGACTATTGTTTTGCTGCGTAAACTGTGAGGTAGTTGCACATGGAGCTGATCTCATGGATAGTACTGTATGCAGAACGACAAATGTGAGAGATAGGTTTATTGAGAGACATGTTGCTTAAAGGATGTAATGTTTCCATATAAGTGAGTGATGTGTCCCTGTTAGTTTATGATGTGGACATGTGAGTGTGTGATGTGTCCATGTGAGTGTGTGATGTGTCCATGTGAGTATGTGATGTGTTGTGTGTCTAATTGAGTGTGCGATGTTTGCATGTGTTGTGTGATGTGTCCATGTGAGTGTGCGATGTGACATGTGAGTGTATGATGTGTGCATTTGAGTGTGGGATGTGTCAATGTGAGTGGGTGATGTGACGATGTGAGTGTATGATGTGTTATGTGTATATGTAAATGTGCGATGTGTCCATATGTTTGCTGGATGTGTCTATGTGATTGTGGGTGTGTCCATATGTTTGAGTTTCATATGTCCACGTAAGCGTTACATTTGTCAATGTGAGAATGTGATGTGTCCCTGTGAGTGTGAAATACGTCCATATGTGTGTTGTGGTATGTGTCCATGTGAGTGTATGATGTGTCAATGTTAGTGTGTGATGTGTACATGTGAATGTGAGATGCGTCCATGTGAACGCGGATGTGTTGTGTGTCTATATGAATGTGCGTTGTGTCCTTATGTTTGTTTCATGTGTTCATGTGATTGTGTGTTGTGTCCATGTGAGTATATCATGTGTCCATGGGTTTGTGTTTAATGTAATCACGTATGTGTATATTGTGTCAATGTGAGTGTGTGATGTGTCCATATGATTATGTGATGTATCCATGTGAGTGTTTGATATGTCCATGTGAGTGTTTGATGTATCCATGTGAGTGCGTGATGTGTCCCTTTTAGAGTGTTATGTGGCCATTCCAGTGTTTGATGGGTCCATGTAAGTATGATATGTGTCTATGTGAGTGTGTAATGTGTCCATATGTTTGTGTGATGTGTCCATGTGAGTGTGTAATGTGTCCATGTAAGTTGGATGTGTCCACATGAGTGGTGAATGTGCTATATATCAATGTGTTTTTGATGTGTCTATGTGAATGTGTAAAGTGACAATGCGATAGTGTGAGATGTGACATTATGATTTAGTGATGTGTGCATGTGAGTGTGTGATGTATCCATGTGAGTGTGTTATGTGTCCATGTTAATGTTTGATTTGTCAATGTTAGTGTGTGAAATGTCCATGTGAGTGTAGGATGTGTTATGTGCCAATATGAATGTGCGATGTGTCCATTTGATTGTATGATGTGTCCATGTCATTGTATGATGTTTCCATGTAAGTGTGCGATGTGCCCATGGGTATTTGTTGTGTGCATGTGGTCTCTGTCCATGTGAATGTGTGTTGTGTCAATGTGAGTGTGTGATGTATCCATATCAGGGTGTGATGTATTCATGTGTTTGTGTGATGTGTCCATGTGTTTGTGTGAAGTGTAAATGTGTTTGTGTTGATGTTTCCACTTAAGTGAATAATGTGTTAATGTGAGTTTGTGATGTGTCCTTGTTAATGTGTAATGTTTCCATGTGAGTGTGTGATGTTTTAAGTGTCTATGTGAGGATGCAATGTTTTCATGTGTTTTTGTGATGTGTCAATGTAAGTGTGTGATGTTATCATGTGAGTGTATTATGTGTTCATGTGTGGGGTTTGTCCATATGAGTGTGTGATGTGTCCATGAGATTGTGTGATGTGTCCATGTGATTGTGTGATGTGTCCATGTTAGTGTGTGATGTGTCCATGTGAGTTTAAGACGCTTCCATGGGTTTGTGAGATTTTGTATGTGTCTATATGAGTGTGCAATGTGTCAATGTAATTTTTACATGTGTTCACGTGATTATGTGTTGTGTCCATTCGTTTGTGTGATATGTTCATGGAAGTGTATGATGTGTCCTTGTTTTTTTAGCGATGTGTCCTGGGGTTTGTGTTTAATGTTTCCATGTAAGTGTGTTTTGTGTGCATGTGGCATGTGTCCATGTGAGTGCGTCATTGTGAATTTGTAATCTGTTCATGTGAGTGTGTGATGTGGTATGTGTCTATGTGAATGTTCGATGTGTCCATGTGTTTATGTGATGTGCTCATGTGATTGTGTGATGTGTTCATGGAAGTGAATGATGTGTCCATGCGTTTGTGTTTAAAGTTCCCACTGAAGTGTATTTGTAGTCAATGTAAGAGTGTGATGTGTCCGCGTTAATGTGTGATGTGTCTACATTAGTTTTTATGTGTTATGTGTTTATGTGAGTGTGCGATTTTTTCATGTTTTTGTATGATGTGTCCATGTGAGTTTTTGATGTGTCCATGTGAGTATATGATGTGTACATGTGAGTGTGGTGTGTGTCCATGTGAGTGTGTGATGTGTCCATGTGATTTTGTGGTGTGTCCATGTTAGTTTGTGGTGTGTCCATGTGAGTGTGAGATGCGTCCATGTGAGTGTGAGATGTATCCATTAGAGCGCGGATGTGCTAAGTATCTACATGAGTGTGCGTTGTTTCCATTTGTTTGTTTGATGTGTCCATGTGATTTTGTATTTTGTCCATGCGCTTGTGTGATATGTTCATGGAAGTGTGTAATGTGTCAATGTTTTTGTGTGATGTGTCCATGTGTGAGTCATGTGTCCATAGGTTTGTGTTTAATCTGTCCACGTATGTGTGTATTGTGTCAATGTGAGTGTGTGATATGTCCATGTGAGTGTTTGATGTGCCCGTTTGATTTTGTGATGTGTCCATTTGAGAGTGTTATGTGTCTATGCCAGTGCTTGATGAGTCCATGTGAGTGTGTGTTGTGTTATGTGTCTATGCAAATGTGCGATGCGTCCATGTGTTTGTTTGATGTGTCTATGTGTTTGTGTGATGTGTCAATGCGTTTGTGTGGTGTGTCCATGTGTTTGTGTGATGTGTCCATGTGTTTGTGTAATGTGTCCATGTGTTTGTGTGATGTGTCCCTGTGTTTGTGTAATGTGTCCATGTGTTTGTGTGATATGTCCCTTTGATTATGTGGTGTGGCCATGTAAGTGTGTGATATTTTATGTGTCTTTGTGAGTGTACGATGTTTTCATTTGTTTATGATGTGTCCATGTGAGTGTGTGATGTGATCATGTGAGTGTGTGATGTATCCATGTGACTGTGGATGTATCCATGTGAGTGTGTGAGTGTGTGATGTGATCATGTGAGTGTGTTTTGTGTCCATGTGAGTGTGGGATGTGTCCATATGAGTTTGTGATATGCTATGTGTTTATCTGAATGTGCGATATGTCTATGTGTTGGTTTGATGTGTCCATTTGATTGTGTGATGTGTGCATGT